GGCCTCGGGGCAGGGGAGTCCCCCCCCCCCCTCCCCTCTCCCCATCCGTGCTGCCCCCATGTATTGGTTTCATCTGTCCTGGACCTTAAAACTTTCCTTGTTTTCTGTTCGAATGGCCGTTTCTAACCCTAACTCTGCTCTCACAGGCAATACGGGTTCGACCCTCACGACGATTCTGACAACTTACGGTGAGCTTCGATTGGTGTACTGTGCGTGCGTTCTTACCATGCAATGACAATGCGACACCCACTATCAGCGATGATTCAAGTGGGATCGATTGATCGATTGTGTGAGGCTTCGCTCATTTCCTCATGTTTAATTGTGTGTGTGTGGATGCATTCGTGTATCATTTACGCAACTATTATGTACTGGTATGTATGTTTTGTCCATGTAGACGTGTTTATTGTACCATGTTCATGTTTTTCTTGCTTTTCTTTAGGCCGCAGTTTTCTTCGCGTACGCCTCCCCTGTTGTTTTGCCACCCTCCCCTGCTCACCACCGGTGCCAAGTGGGGAGTTTCGTTCACTTTTTGTTGTGTTGCGTTTGTAGTGGTTTGTGCCTTCGCCGTTCCTCAGTGTGCGTCCGTTGCTCTCTCTCTCACACAGTCGTCTTCTCCCCACCCCTGCACCCTGTATTCGCCCACGCCTTTTCGCATTCTTGGCTGCCGACACATCCCGGATCGTCCTCGACTTCATGTTGCGATAATGAAGGATCCACAACAACATCGTGTACGAGAACGGTGAGTAGGATTCGACGTCGCGCATTTCTTTGTCCTAGGACTTCAAGGAGACCCACGAAGGAGCTTGCTTAGTAGATCGTATCCTGATGCTGTGAGTGTGTTTTTGCGTGTGTGTATAAATGACAACGTGACCAGCGTTGAAGGTGGGAATTCCCACAGGGGCGAGGGATGCAAACCAGCGCGAGAACGTACGCAGCAGCAGAGGCATTTCATTCTCTTCGTGTGTGACCCCTGGTTTCAGCTGGACCAGCTACTACTGTAGGTAAAGCTATAAGCCATCGGTGGCGGTTAGATCGTTACGTCCGGTTATTACCGCGGCGTGCTTGTGTTTTCACTCTAGGAGGGGTTTTCGGCTGCGATTGGCGAAGGCTGATGGCGAAAAGCCTGTAGTGCTTGATGTAGAGAGTTTTTTTTCGGAGTGGAAATTGCGAACACCCACGGATTTCTCTCTCTCTTGGTTTTTTGTTTGGGGGGTTGGCCTTGGTAGAAAAACGTGAAAAAAGTGGTCGATGGCCGTACGAATCGGTTGAACTACCGTAACTGACGATGTGTGTCCTCTCTATTTTTTTTTGCTCCTGCAGGCAACCACGGTATCATCGCGTCGAAGAGGTGCAACGACGTGTCCATCCAGAACAACGTGGTGTACGACAACGCGCTCCACGGCATCATGCTCCACCGCTCCTCCGATCGGGGAATCATCAGGAACAACACCGTCTCTGGCTCCGGGAGTGCTTGCATTGCTATCTTCGAGTCCTTCGGTAGGCTACAGCTGTGTGATCGCGCTGTTTGGTGATCTTTCCACGTAAACCTCTAGTTTACACATCTCGTCGATTCATGATTTGTGGTTCTACAATGCCGTACGTACGATGGGCGGCTGGCGTAAGCGAGAGCACCTCCGCCGACAGTTCAGGGCCCGCACCCGCCCCTAGTTTTAGTTCCCCCTTTCTCTCGTCGTACCTTTTCTTAACTGTTTCATACCGCATATCAGTACCAGCTAAAGTATCGGCGCAAACACGGTACCTCCCTTGTCCCGTTCTGCGTTGTGTTAGACATCGAGATCAGCGACAACCTCTGCACGCAGAACGAAGAGGGCATCCGGTTGTCCATGGGGTCGTCCTACAACAAGATCTTCGACAACCAAGTCATCGACACCGCTGGCCGTGAGTTCTGCTATCCTATCATGCCTCAGTTTTCGTGGTAGCGCCTATTTCGTCGGCTGTCGTCAGCGAGGCGCAGCTACCTCCCGGCCTTCGGTTTTCCGTGCCTGCCCGTGCCCTAACCCTAACCCTCACCCTCATGTCTCATCGTTGGTTTCGTGTGTTGCTCGTACCGGTGGGACAAGAGACGGAGGAAATCTCCCTTCGCGTGCGTGCCTCTTTCGTTGTTGTTGTTGTTGTTCTTGTTCTTGTTCTTGTTCTTGTTGTCTTCACAAGAAAAACCGTCCCGATCTCTCTGCCCAGTACCTTCTGTCTATGCTACCCTTGACGCGGTCGATTCCCACGGCGACTGGCTAACTTGCCCGAAGAGGATCAGAGGGTACGGAAGTCAACAGAAATCACCGACAGATAGCCTAGAACCCTCCGCTTTGGCGTGGTTCATTGCTTCTGATAGTAAGACAAGGAAGGCGACCAATCTTCGATTTGTACATAGCCTGTCGTTCACAAGAGGGATCCATTATGATTTTTTTGTGGTAGCGAGCGCCTCCGTGCATAAGGGATGTGGGTCGCGGATGTGGGTCACTCACTCCCTTCCGCGGGATGTATTCCACATTCATTCCAGGTCGCGGAACCGGTTTCGTTCCGCTTCTGTGGATCATGTGGGCTATTCCAGATATATCGCCGTTCGCCCCATTCCAATTTGGATACGTCCATTGACACTTCTTCCTGTGTTCAGTTTGCGGGATGTCTTTCATTCCTCATGTTGGAAGGCGTTGTTAGTGTTTTTCCTTTCACCGTGTACCGTACAAAATGCTCGCCGTAGTTCGATTGTGCATTATGTTTCATTGTTGGAGGATGTATTTCACACAACTCCGCGGAATGCATCCCGTTTCCGTCGCGCAGGATGCGCTTTTATGTTCTGTTTGCGAGGTTTGCGATTCGTTCGTTGTCGTTCGGCAAATTTCTCTTCGTAGAGTGGAACGTGTTCGTTTGTTTTTCAGTTTTGGTCGATGTTGAGTTCGTGTGCTCTGTGAATCTTCACTCTTTCACGAAGAATCTTCACTATTTCACAACGGGGCAGCCCAAAAATCCATACCTCCTGCGCCTTTCAGTCGTGCTGTGAATGAATCAGTCATCGATGCAGTCGTGCTGAGTGGTCACTTCTTTCGTATTTCTTGTGGCGGGTGGGGTCAAGGCCTGCATGTTAGTTTTGTCTACGCGTGAATTCTCGTGTGTGCCGATTGGTTGCAGTGTCCCCGGTGGTTGTTCCTGTTGGAAAATCACACGCTCGGGCTTGCATCCATCGCCACATGCCACCCTTTCCCCGACTTGGGATTGTTTCGATTGCACTTCGAGATCCATCTGGATGTAGCTGAGATCCAACGACATCGATGGACCCCAGCCTTCACAGACTCATCCACCGACTTCCCCTTTTCGGTTACGCTTCTGGGGCCATCTAGATGTACCTGAGATCCGACGAGACCGATAGGGTTCAGCCTTCACAGATTCATACCCCCGACTGTTCATGTTTCCAGTTACGCTACAAGGGCCATCTGGATGTACCTGGGGTCCGTCGAGATCGAGGTCCCCGCCGTGGCTGACTCTAACCTCCCCCGACTTTCATTTTTCGGTTACCCTGTAGGGGCCATCTCGATGCACCTGAGTTCCGACGAGACCGATAGGCCTCAGCCATCCACTCAACCCCCCCCCCCCCCGACATATTTTTTTTCGGTTACACAACAGGGTCCATCTGGATGTACCTGGGATCCGACGAGGTCGAGGCCTCCGCCGCTACTGACGGCATGTGCACGGGCAACCTATTCCAGAACAACTACCTGGAGGGGTCCGAAACCGGGGTGGCCATGACCGAGACTCGGGACACGATGCTGATCGGGAACACGTTCATCGACACCGACAACAACGAGTGGAAGGACTCTGACGGGCTCGTGTGGCGGGTGAGGGAGGCAGGAGACGTGCTATTTAGTTGTGTTGCAGCCGTAACTGATTGCGCGCTCGAGAGGACGGAGCGATGTTCCCAAAAGACCGATGGCCAGGGCGTGGGGGAAGGGGTTATTCTCGTGCGTGTTTTATTTTTTTCAGCATGAACCAGGGTCGGGCTCAAGGTTGTTGTTGTTGTTGTTGTTGTCTTCACATTAAAAGCCGTTCCGTTCTCTCTGCCCAGTACCTTCTTCTGTCCGTACTAGTCTAACACTTGACGCGGTCAATTCACGTGGTCACAGAGCTAACTTACCCAAAAAAAGGTATACGAAAATAAAATGGACCCGAAGAGAGTCCGCAAGCCAATAAAAAGCCAACGACAGATAGCCTAGGCCACTCCGCTCGCCTCTCTGCACGCTATGCAAGGTAACCCTAGATTGGGAAAAGATAGAAAAGGAAAAAAGAAAAAAGAAAGAGAACGAGAAAAAGAAAAAGAAAAAGAAAGGAAGAGAACAGATGGAGAGAAGCAAAGGGAGAGAGAAAGACACCGACAGACGCCTAAGCGACAAACAACAAACAAACAAACAGAACAACACAATACAACACAAGACAAAGCGGGCCACTCGAGCCAGCCCATGCACGTCATCGCTCGCGGGGGGTTGGTGCAAAGTTGCAGTGCTGGGGAGGGGGGAAGGGGGGGGATAAGTCAAGCAACATGTTCATTTCGGCACGGTGTTTCGCGCCACTCGGTCCGCATCTTCGCGTTTCCTGCCTTTCCTCGCCGTCTCGTCCGCCTGCTGTACCCCTCCCACCCCCCCGTGGTTGTTGCCGTGTCCGTGTTGTTGTCGGGCTTCTTGTTTCGTTTGAGCGCTCGTTGTCGGCTAGCCTCCTCTTCCTTCTTGTGCCAGGAGGCCATGAACCTCTCAGCTCCCTGCGGTAACCCTGTATGCCACGGTACCCCCCGGTCCACCTTCGCTGCTTCCATCCAAGTTGTTTCCGGGACTCCGAAGAAGCATGGCTTGGCGTCCGTAGATCCGTGCTCTGCTTCGAACATCTTGAGGTCGTCCTTCAGGCACATCTGTCAGTTTTGCGCCGGTTTCCCCCTTCCTGGACCCTCCCCCCCCACCAGTTCGCCAAGCATCACCCGTTTCGGGAGTCGTCCGTCTGGCTGCCTTACAAGCGTTCCCGCGGACAGCAGGCGCCGTTGCCGGATAGTGGTTTCCACGCTCTGGCACCCTACCCTCTTCAGTGTCTGGGCGTAGGAAAGCTGCCGGTAGGTGCCCTTCTTGCGTTGGTAACCGATAACTCGCAGGAGCAGTCGGGGGTGTATTGTCCGCAACGTCCGGTATTGGCCTTGACGTGGGGCCCATGTCATGCAGCCGTACAGCAGTGCCTCCATCGCCTTGGCCTGGAGTAGGCGAGTCTTCAGTCGGAACGGTGCCGGCCTGTCGAAGAGCTCCTGGCCATTTCTCCTGACGCACGTCCACGCTGCTCTGCTCCGGTAATTGATCTCCCGAGTGAGGTCGCCATGTTCGTTAACGAGGCCACCTAGGTACCGGAATTCAGCGTCTGGGCATACCTCTGCCCTGCTGCCCCGATGATCAGCGGTGGCGGCGGGGGGGGCGGTGTTGTTGTTGTGTGCTTCTCCTTTGCGCGCATCAGGAGCGTCTCCGTCTTCTTCTCCGATACCGTCAGCCCGAACTTGCCGAACACCTCCACGATGACGGTCATCATTCTCGCCAGTCCTTCGGCAGACCTCGATACGACGCCGGCGTCATCGCCATACACCATCCCCCATACCGCCCTCCGCACTCGGGCAAGTGGTGCCGTCGCCCCCGCTCCCGTCTCCTCCTCCAGGTACACGAGGTTCTCCAGAAAAACATCATCCTCGCTGAATCGAATGGCAACGACCTCGATGACCGCGGTGAAGAAGACTTTGAACAGCGGTGGGGACAGCACACACACCCTTGTCGTGGGCCTTGTGTGACCAAGAACCAGGCGGAAACCTCTCCGTCGTCCATGTGCACCCGGGCCCGCATTCCGTCGTGGACCTGGCGGATGACGGCGATCATCTCCTCAGGAATCCCGGCCCTGGCCAGGAGCTGGTGGAGGTCGGAAATATTGGGGTTGGAAAATTTTGTCTGCGGAAACCGCCGATAGGAGGACGGATGTCCAAACAAATGGGAGAATTATGGCTCGGTTTGTTGCGGATCATAAGAATAGTAACCCTTTGAACGCAATGGTTAGGTTTTTTGGTGAGGTGTAGCGAGTTGTTGAGCGTGTTGAGGTAGTGTTTGGTTGTCGAAAGCTTCTGGCTTTTGAATGGTTCAGACGGGTTTCGGTTCGACTGGCGCAGTGGTGCAGTGGTATCGTTTGAAAAATTGTTCGGTTTTGGTTTTGCCTCTCCATGTTTCCCCCTCCGTTAATTCCCGCGTCACCTATCTATGCCTGGAGGATCGTGTTCGCAACTTGAGAGTATGGACAAGCCGCGAATGTGCTCAATCCGCTATATTTGCCCCAATTGTTTTCTTCGCGATCACATCCCGGCGGGCATGATTGGAAACCTGGTGCGCCCCCGCTCATCCGTCCTTTATTGTTTTTGGCTCGTCCACCTCCCACGGAGCCATGCTATCCGTACCTCTCGTGTACGCTTCGGTCTCGTCTTCTACCAAGCGACCCTCCCTCTGGGTATAACTTGATTTCGTGCTCCACCAGCGGCCCAAAACGCATCTCTTTCATCACACACGGAGCGACCCTCTTCCCATCTCGTTGCACGTTTCGATTTAGTTTTCTGCTGCAACGTTGTGCTGGAGAAGCAAATGGACGCTGACTTTGGACCCCATTGATCTCTTTGTGCCCCATCTATCCGCTCGCCCCCACAGGACAACAACATCGACGGGGACTTCGACATGAGATTCTCCGATACCTGTGTAACGTCCGAGAGCGATTTCGACCAGATTAACGGCGTCGGCAGCAATCCGAGCGAGTGCTAATCGTTGGTCGGTCGAATCACAAGCTTGTGTGTCACATGCCACATAATGATGAGAGGGAGCCACCTCGGCATATTTCAGGAATAGTGTATGGTTTCGACGATCGCTGACATTGGCTGTAAAATAGCAACGTGACACGATCGATGTCAGGGAGTCGCAGGGTACCTGTGGCGTGGAGATTTGAATTCATAACGTAAGCGGGAGGCCACATTCCTTCAACTAATAACTGGACAGTTAGTTGCCTGCGGGCGACCTACAGTAGTGTGAAGCCGCGCCTTCTTCCTTAGTTTCGGTTATGTACTACAAGTACAGAATCGCTTAGGCATGGGGGGGGGGGGGGGGGGGGTTCCCCCCCGAGGGAAAAAGGGGGAAAACTTCCCGGTGGAACCCTTGTTTTTCAACCAAGCTTGGGCG